ATCTCACACCTGTCATCCCTTGACCCTTCACCCATCATCCCTCCATCTTTATCCTTTCATCTCACACCTGTCATCCCTTGACCCTTCACCCTGTCATCCCTCCATCTTTATCCTTTCATCTCACACCCTTCATCCATTGACCCTTATGCCTTCAGCCCTCAACGCTTCAACCCTCATCCCTTCATCCCTCATCCATTTGACCCTTGACCCTTATCCATTCATTCCTCACCATTTACCCCCTCATCCCTCCAACTTCATCCCGCACCCCTCTTTCCTTGAATCTTATACCTTCGTTCTTCATCTCCAACCCTCATCCCCTTATTCCTCGACCCTCAACCCTTTATTCCCTCATCCCTTCACTGTACATCTTATCATCCTTCCATTCTCATCCTCTCTCACCTGTCTTATAGGTCTGGTCTTTGTTAGTGAACTAATGACACATAGATTATATACTTGTGGAGATTGGTGGGTTTTTATTTGTTTATTTTTGTATGTTGGGGGGAAGCACTTTTGTTCATGACTTCATAACCTATACTAACATATGCATCCTGATTTAGCTGATTTACAGCAGGATAACCTTGCAGCACACAGTGTTTGTCTTATCACTATTTTGGCTTCCTAGCACTCACTGCCTAAAAAATGTTCAATATTAAGAAGTGTGTGACTTACAGCTGCAGCACAACCCAGACTGTTTAAATCAGTATTAGAGAAAATAGTCTCTATGAAATCTACTTATTTCAAGGAAACTGTTCCTGTAGCTACTGAATCTTTTAGATGTCATTTCTCAATGCAGTGAGCACCACAAACAAAGTGCCTTACCTCAGATATTTCACAACCTGGACAAATAAAACAAAATATATTTACACAGCTATAGCAACCCAATCACCAGAAAAAATGTTGGCAAACCACAGATATGTCACCTTTGTCATTATGTTGCGGATATGTTAAAACTTGATGTTTCAACAACCTTGTGGTTAGTATGTGGTTAGGTTTAGGCACAAAACACTTGGTTATGGTTGGGAAAAGATCTTGTTTTGGCTTGAAATACCTGGATTTGGGGGCACAATCCCTGCCAGTAACACAGTGATATCTCAGTGAACAACCTCTTTTTATGCCACTATCCCAAGCAGGAAAAGCGGCGAAGTTTTGGCAAAAAACAATTGCTTTTCATGCCACTATCCCGGCAGGAAATATAGCAATGTCTCGCTAAATAACCACTTTTCGTGCCACAACCCCAACAGGAAATATAGCAGTGTCTTGATAAAAAAATGGCCGCTTTTTGGGCCACTGTCTCAGCAGGAAATGTAGTGATGTCTCTGTAAAAAATTACCACTGTCTTGGCAGGAAATGCAGCAATATCTCGGTAAGAAATGACCACTTTTCATGCCACTATCTTGGCAGGAAATGTAGTGATGTCTCAGTCAAAAATCACTGCTTTTTATGCCACATCCCCGCTGGAAGCACAGTGATGGGTCGCTACAGAACACCCACCTTTGGCGCCTAAAAAGCATCTGGAAACATAACAATGACTCATTAAATCATAACCAGTTTTGATGTTTTTTGATCTGGAAAAGTCACGAGATGTCACGCTATCAACAACCCCCTTCTCCTCCCAGTGACAAAGTCAGATGTTGATATGATACATATGAAACATGTAAATGTAATGTAATCATGGTTTGCAGAAATGTAATGCAAAAGAAAATAGGTTGTTTTATTGTAATTTGGGTGAAATGAACCTTTAAACCCTGCAAAATTTTACACACAATATTTCAGCTGCCTACATTATCTTGTATTAGATCAGTTCGGTGTTTGTTAGTGTTTGCCTGCCACACAAATTGACGGTGTAGAAAAAACAGGCATCTCTCCTTATTTTCTTTGTCCAAGAACATTAAAATGTAAAATATTCTCTCCTATTTACAGGGGCCAATTTGTCAGACACCGTTTTTAACTGCTGGACTTTCAAATGTTCTACCTTGCAGATGAAGACCTTGCAGAATGATAAATCAAGACCATGCTCTCAAACTTAAATTATTTGACTCACTGGCTTGGAAACCATTATTGTCTGCATGGGGCTATTCCTCATTTTTATTGTTTATTATGTTTGAAAATATTGTGTCCTGTCCTTTTATTGCAAAAAAAGAGAACTGAACACTGTTAGTTTTTATACTGCAGCATCATATACTACTTTTATATGGGCTCACATAATTACATTTGTCATTCGGAGACAACTTGGCATGGACTTAGCCATTGATTATGTGTCAGTTTTTGGGTTAATGCGCAAATCCCACTTGGGCTGTAATTTAAACCATGTTCAAACTGGTGTTAGAACTGTCAACTTCTATTACTTTTTATGGGAACTTAATGAACAGCCTCCAGACAAACAAAGCTCAATGTTCTCCCAGGCCTTGGTATACAGATTAGAAAGCAGTTTATTTTAATCTTTAGTACTTTTTATAATCCATGTAGCATCAGTTGTGCTGGGAATTGTGGACATAATGCTATTTAGTTGAGCCTGCTTTATGTATATTTAGGTCACAGACTGGTTTTGATGAGTAAAAATTGAAACATATTGTATCTGTAGTCAGCTTAGTTGACCACAGATGCCAAGACAACGCCATCTTCCAGCTTTTTGTGTACAATAATATATATATTTTTGTTTAAATGGCTGAAAATGGGCTCAAAGATTATTTAAGCAACCAGCCTAAAGTTTCACACAGATATATTTAGATTTTAATGGACAGTTATTTGTGTCATACCCATGTATCTCCAGTTGAGGGCAGCAATACTGCTGAAAGGGATATAATCTCCTTCAAATAAAGAGGCAGAGGAAGAGGTGGAGGATGGACAATGAAGACGTTTGCTGTAAAAGAAGAAGAATGCAACCTTCACGTGCACCTTGTAAGCCACTAATTTAAGGCTGAGGAGGGCTGTATGCTCAAAGCTTTTGCGAGCAGAAGAAAAACCTGATTATTTTTCTTATGTCTATTGATCATTAAATATATTTATGCTGAATGAAGGAAAAGGGTGTGCAGATATATAACTGGTTAGGACTGCCATGTGGAGTTTGTCTCAAACTGGGAATGAGGAATGCCCATTTGTTACTGACAGATGATATTCCATCATCCTTGATGGCTTCATTATTTCCCCAGGAAAAATACACTTTTAGAATATATTTGATGAGACTTCACTTACTGATACAGCTTGACTGTATCTCCTGCTTATGTATGAAACCATGAATGGATTACTGAATGGGCCTACTGGGCACAGGCACAGGGGCCCATGGTGTCAGGGGCCCCTTTGGCCTTCATCAGCAAAATGTCACTCAAAAATCAACATGTGTGGACCAGGAGGAGTCTCAAAATGATCACAAAGAAATGTAAAGGAACTGCAAAGAGACACAACATAAATCCAAAAACAGGCAAAACAACCACAGAGAGACACACAATGACTACAAAGAGATGCAAAACTACTACAAAAATCAGGCAAAACAACCACAGGGAGACATAAAATGACTATAAGGAGATGCAAAATGACTAAAAAAAACAGGCAAACAACCACAGAGAGACAAAAAATGACTGTAAGGAGATGCAAAATGACTAAAAAAAACAGGCAAACAACCACAGAGAGACAAAAAATGACTGCAAAGAGGCACAAAATGACTACAAAGAGACAAAAAATGACTACAAAGAGACGCAACATGACTACAAAAACAGGCAAAACAACCACAGGGAGACACACAACGACTGCAAAGACTAACAAAGTGCCTACAAATATGGGCAAAACAACCACGAGGAGACACAAAACAGCTACAAAGAGACACAAAACAACTACAAAGAGACACACAATGACTACAAAGAGATACAATTTGACTACAAAAACAGACAAAACAACCACAGAGAGAGACACGCAACGACTACAAAGACTTACACAGTGCCTACAAATATAAGCAAAAATAACCACAAGGAGACACAAAACTACTACAGAGACACAAAATGACTACAATGAGACACAAAATTACTACAAAAACAGGCAAAACAACCACAGAGAGACACACAACAACTGCAAAGACTCACAAAGTGCCTACAAATATGGGCAAAACAGGGAGGAGGACACACGAGGAGACACAAAACGACTACAGAGATGCAAAACGACTACAAAAACAGACAAAATAACCACAGAGAGAGACAAAGAGGCTATGAGATGCAGAATAACTACAAAACAGGCAAAACAACCACGGAAAGACACAAAAAGACTACAAAGAGATGCAAAATGACTACAAAAACAGGCAAAACAACCACCGAGAGACACAAAAAGACTACAAAGAGATGCAAAATGACTACAAAAACAGGCAAAACAACCACAGAGAGACACAAAAAGACTACAAAGAGATGCAAAATGACTACAAAGAGATTCAAAACGATTACAAAGAGACACAAAATGAATACAAAGAGATGCAAAACAACTACAAAAACAGACAAAATAAGCACAGAGAGAGACAAAAATGCTACAAAGAGATGCAAAACGACTACAAAAACAGGCCAAACAACCACAGAGACACAAAATGACTATGTAGTGACACAAAATGGTCAAAAAGACACAAAATCATCCCAAAACCACAAAAAGATGCATAATGGCTTCAACAAAAAGCAAATAATAACAATAACAAAGGCAAAACAACCACAAAGTTACGTGTCTTGCTCTTATGTGGGAGAGGTGGTGGAGCCTTTTGCATATCTGTGCCCAGGGGCCCATTAATCTTATAATCCGCCCATGTGTGACACAAAGCAAACATATTTAAGTTTAAGAAATATCCTCACACTGTTTAAACAGACAGTTAAATTCTAAATCAATAAAAGCTTAGGAGCTCCCATGGGAGGGTCCTTATCTGGTGCTTCGTTGCGTTTAATATGTTAGACAGCCGTTTAAAGTTCCCATCTATGGTTGGTTCCCACAAACGTGCTTCGAATTTCTATTTTCCCGGCGGTCCCTGAAGGCAGCCGCAGAGGAGGAAGGAACCCTGGCAACGCTGTCACAAAGCTAACGCTAACGTTACCCGTGTAGTGCTGCTAAGCTCCTGATGCATCAGCTTTGTCAACATGCACTTACAAGTCTATCAAGGCTGGGTACCATTTGATCTTTACCTCGTAGCTTCCCCCTAACGCGTGTTAACAAATTCACAATGGAATTTTTTAACGAGCCGAGCTAGCAGACTTTTTCTTCGTCGTAGCCACAGTCAGTCGACCAGCTAACCAGAACGAGCTGTTGTTAGCTTGGTGAATATGGCGATTGTGTCTGGCTCCTGTGCCAGGGTAAACGGGTCTAGAAATGGGCCGTCTGTGTCGGCTACACCCTCCGGATCCGTCGGACAGTCTCAGCCCATGATAGCGGTGTGGGAATGGCAGGATGACCTGGGCTACTGGCGGCCTTACAGCGGCCAGGTGAGCGCCTACATCGAGCGGTGTCTGTCACCGCGGGGCCAGAGAGGAGGAGGACCCGGCTCAACGAGCATCTGCCTCGGACAATCAGACCCCAGCCTGTCGCCTTATCTCATCGACATACCAAGCTTGAAACAGTTTCGGCAGGACACAGGTGAGCCACGACATACTTTATTACTTTAATACATCCACGTTAACCCAACGTTACATTTGTAATCATTTTTTAATGTTGTGCCTCGAATTAAAGCAGTTATCAGGCCAGGCTAACAGAGGACTCTAGCTAGCTAGTTAGCTTTAGCTCACAGGGCGCTGTTGTTTTGATGAGTGTTTACACAGCTCTAAACCAAGATTAGCGAACTGCTCAGGATGAAGTTATGAAATTTAGCCTCAGGCGTCTCTGTTACATGCTTTCCTGTTATCAAACGTTAGCTAACTCATCCACATGACCTGTCTACACTGCTGACGCCTGTAACATTAGCATGTTTTGCTGCTTTGAGCTCAGCTGATTCCTGCTAGCTAGTTTGAATGAGGAGCAACAGAGCTTGCAGATTAACGGCAAATAGTTGTTATAAAACACTTGTACAAATCCCAGTGCTCCTGTAAATAATGTGAATAAAGAAAAACATTAGCTAAGTAACTGAACTGGCAGCCATTTGAGATAAGCTTGTACCAAAGTAGGGATTATAATGTTTACATTGTTGACATTTATAAATAAGGGTTCTTATCTGTGGGAACTGGGCATTTGTCTTTGTTATGGTGCCACATTGGGATTTTTGCTGAAAATGTGGATTTTGTTTTCCATATAATGCTTGCATGATCAGTTGAAATTATCTTTTTATTCTCAGGAAAGACACGGTCAGTACGTCGGTCCCTGTTTGCCCAGTCCTCAGGCCTCGGCAGTGGTGTCTACTGGGAATGGCTCAACGATGAAGGAGGATGGACTCCATATGAGACACGAACCTCTATCCTTTTGGAGCACAGCTATCAGGCCCGCCAAGGCACGGCAGATTTGGGCCCTCATGGATACAATTACATAGTGGATCTCACATCTCTGGCTCAAGTCAACAAAGCAACGGGCTTCAGACGGCAGGTCCGGCGACAGTGTAACCTCCCCTATCCACTGGCCTCCTCTGGCCCCCCGGCCATCCCCTCGGGCCCTGCCTGCTCCTGCCAGCAGTGCTTGAGCCACAGCAGCACAGGACCCATGCCCAGCCGTTCACGACATTCCTTTTCATCGGGCAGTCTGAACCGGCCCAGTCTTCAAGGGACAGGAAGGGCTGCCGCTGCTCACCCCACTTCTGTCTACTCGCCGTACCCCAGGAGACCCCTCTCTGTGGGGGGAATGTCCTGGGGCAGCCCCTGGCCTCCACCACCCTCTGGTAGTCAGCTGTCTGCACCGCTTCTGACCAGCTCTACCAGCACCAATGGGTTAAGGTTGGTATCTGATATGTGTATGGGATTGTGATTGTGTTTGCAGTGCAGTCGGTTTGGTGAAACATCAACAGAAAGATGCCCCTATGGATAAGTTAGCTGACCGAGGATGTATGCTATGGGCCCCTCTCCACCCTTTCCTCCCCTTTCTTCTTTGACTTTCCTGTCAGTCTCCACGTTGACCTATCTTGTAAAACAGGATTTACAAAAAAAAAAAAACTGTAGCTCCAGCCCTGCAGTGGCATGTTTGTTTTGGCTCAGGTCCTGTGACTCTTGTCTGTGTCATCTTCAGCCTGCCTTCTTTTCTGATCCTAACGGCATAAAACTACTTTCAAAGAATTGCTTACTTAAGTGTTATAATGGGTACACAGTTCACTTACAGTTTCTCTTTGCTCTAATTAAGTTTCATTAAGTGTATCGTCAGCCACCGGAAATTAATAATAGGATAGTAAAATGCTGGGTGCTCACACTGTGGTTAGTGTTATGAACCTCATTTTTCAGTGATTGTTCACACTTCTCAATGATTACTCTGGATGGAGTATCTAGTAAGGACAGATAACAACATTTAATAGAGTTCTACATTTTATGCATATGTATATTTATTTGTTTTGACACAGTGGCAGGTCAGTGTATTTTAAAAAAAAAAAAGAAGTAATTTAACAGCATATGCAAAATGCCACTATGTTCTAATGTGAAAGTGATAAAGCTAAGAAAATTTATTATTTAAAAATAGTGGTTATTTTTCTTACTCCATAGAGCGATTTATAATTATGTTGCAGGTTTCTTTTGACTGTAGATTAGCTGATATCGAAGGGCTTCTCATTATCAGTGACACATTTCCTCCTATTGTGTGACCAAGTCCTCTCATTTTGGGTAAAACATCCACACAGGGTTTTTTTTTTGTTTTGTTTAACTTGTCTTCATTTTGACAGATGGGACAACAGGGTTAGTGCTGAAACAAGAGGGAGATGAGTCGATCAGTTGACTGACAAAAATGTAAATAATTATTTTGATTACTGCTCAACAGTCGTAAATTTTATATTTTTGTGCCTTTGACTATTTGTCAGACGTAAAAAGCAACATGAAGACGTCACTTTGAGCTCTTTGAATTTTTGAAGGCACCTTTTCACTATTGCTTCAGGGTGTCTGCAGGTTCTTATAAAGTCTTAAAATATCTTAAATTCAATTGTATAAATATTTGGCCTTAAAGTCATTAAACAGGCTTAAATATATTGAACATGTGGACAAACATTTTGTCTAATTTAATAATCCATTTTTTTATTTCTCTTTGTCGACATGATTCAAGCTCTTATGCATCAACATCATTTCTGATGTTACAAACCTTTAAACCTACCACTGAAACAAATATGTACCTGTTGGCAAAATGCAAATTAACCTAACTCACTCTAATAACCATATTCCTACATAAAGCCTATCTCTGCACAGGACCACATTTATTGTATACTATAAAGTTATACTCACCTACATGCTTAAGTAAAAAAGAGATATTTGTCCAAAATTCAGTCTTAAATTTGGTTAAAAAAGATCCAGAAAAGGTCTTAAAAAGCATTAAGTTTAAGTGTCTTTCACCTGTAGACACCCTGTATTTGGCATTTTGTTGACTAAACTGTTAATTGAAAAAATAATAGGGGCTGCGACTAATCATTTTTAAAATTTTTCCATTAATCCGTTGATTATTTTCACGATTAATCGTCTAGTTGTTTGGTGTATAAAATGTCGTTAATTATGAAAAATGTCAGTCAGTGTTTCCCAAAGCCAGAGATGACGTCCTAAAATATTTTGTCCACAACCCAAAGATACTCAACTTACTGTCACAGAGGGTATGAACCAGTAAATCACACTTAATTTATGTATTTTTTTAATTAAAGAAATTATTCAAAGGGATTAATAAATTATCAAATTATTTGCATTTGCATTCAAACCTAAAAGATCAATCTTTAAATTATTGCAGCTCTTATGAGTATCACAATACTTCAGTAATGATACAGTTTTGTTGTCATTTTAAATGTTCTGCAATATGCTGAGTATTTACATAACATATTTCGTCACATGTTGGATTTATTACCTTTTTTTTTAACTGCAAATTATATCCCCAAAGAAAAACTTTGCCAACATCTGTTTTATCTAATCAAATAAAGTTTTCAGTCAATGTGATTAGAGGACTGAAAAAGCTTCCAAAATTTTAATTGCATTTGCAATATTAATAATTTATAATAATAAAAAAACTTGATGCATGGCGTCCATGAATCAATACAATATTGTAATACTATGCTGTATTGATTTCTTTTCAACCCCAAACTGTTTTTGGTTTACAGCTCTATTATACTTCAGTACTAACAATGTCTCATTTCTTTTCTGTGAAGGCTGTTTTGCACAGTGAGCATATTTGTTGGGCGCATATTCATCAATATATTGGATGTTGAGTCACGCTCCATAGTTGCATTATGCTCATGCAGTCAATATTAAGTTGTTGTTAATCAATCTCAGAATGGCCTAGTTATTTACTGGCCTGTCTGAATGTGGTCACTTTTTTCAGCTCCTTAAGTAAAAGGTAAATAAACCCTTGCAGTGAATTCACAGGCAGGTTTTATTTTCTCCTCTTGATGTGGGGCCAAAGCTATTCCTAACGTCAGCATGCTTAAATGTTCTAATCCTGTGAAGTGGATTGGAAACTGAAATCGTTGTTAAGGCTTTGTTTTGTTCTTTCTGCCTGGTTCATTGTTGCTGTTTTTACTGACTGAATGTCCTCTGTCCTTGTTTCCTGTCCTGCAGTGTTCCTTCCATCTCTGTGCAGCTGAATGGATCCACCAGTGTAAGCTCTGCCCTGGCAGGTAAACGGGTCACTGACCATCCATCCTGACTGTTGCCTCTGCTCTATTCTGCACCACGCGTCTGACTTGGTCGCAGGTTTCATTCAGTATAATGTTTGTGGTTCATGTGCCTTTTCCTCTGCGTTTGTCTTGTGAGTGTCAGTCTGTTCGGGAACAGCATGCCACAAAAAAAAGCTGGAAGAAGGGGGTTAATAAATAAAAAAAGAACGCACCTCTAACTTGAAGAGAGTGGGGGAAACAATGTCCCTGAAACCATCAGAGAGAGGCTTCCATTCAGCGAGAAACAAAAGTGATATGATCCTGTTTGTTTCAATAGAAAACATGAAAACAGCCTCCACACAGGCTTGTTTTTATTGAGAGCCCACACAAGTTTCCTCGTGCTCTACAAAGAATTTGGCCCTGGATGCAAAAAAAAAAAAAAAACATGATTGACTTTAGTTTGAAGTCTTTATCCTGTAAGACAGCTCTCGTCTCATTGGTCCATGCCACTGTGGTTTTTGTAAGTTGGCTCAAAGCTAAAACATAATAGATGGGACGACTAATAACAAAAACAATACACCTACATAAGTGGAATACATTAACTTGGATGATTTGTGTTTCACATAACTTGAATGTTGATGTAAAAATATATCAGTGAAACCACTATTTTATAAAATGTTTTATAGAGAGGCGAAGTCCTTCCTCTTCTTGCGGACCACATTTTGCATTAAATATGTAGTTATGAAAGACAAATGATTTTCTTTTATCTTGTTTGAATTGTGCCATGATTTACACACATGGTCATTGTTGATATAAAAGATGTTTTTGCAGGTTAAGAAAGTCAGTTTGTTGTAAAACTATTGAAGTGCAAGACTGTGAAAATACATAATTAGAAAGACTACACAAGTCACATAGGTGACATCGTGGCGTTCTCGTGCTGAAGCTAAGATGTCTGTGTGTTTTGGACTCAAACGAGCAACGAGTCTTGCCCATTCTTTCACTTCCCGACTGATAAAAAGACTAGCGATGCATGATAATATTGACACGTCATGAGTGTATGTCATTAAAATGAAATTTTTGAATCGGCCGACACGCTGAGAATATCGGTACATCATTGATATCGGCCAATATCGGCTTTAAGATTAATCACAATCAGCCAACATGTGTTTTTTTATTTTAATGTGCGCTTTTTCCCACAGATGTGTGAAGATTTAACGCCATTCATCTCACCGGTATAAAACAGGCCGCAGCGCTACCTTATTAACGACCGTAGTATTGAGCTCCAAGCTCCAACATAACCGGCTCTTTTATCTGTAACTGTCACTGTTTTTACGTTTGGGTGTAATTTATTATCATGCTGCAGCAGCCGCTCCTCCTGCTGTCTGTGCGTCCGGGCTGCTGCGCCACTTTAATGCACACACACTAACACGGTGTAGAGACGCTGCTGTGGAGACAGAAGTGAAGATAACTCGAGCTGGTGACAGCTACACTTGTTACTGTAAGTGCGATAAGGGGGCGGACTTTGCCTCTCTGTTCACAAACAGCTCAGGAGTACTTTGAGAGACTTACCCTTTACACACCTTGACCTTACTTTTTGACTCAGCTCTGTATAAAAAGGGACACAACCCTATATTAAGGTTCTCAAATTGAATTTCCCATAATTGTTGTTGAATATTGTGCTTTTTTAAATCCAAAGATACCTGACGAAAACATTAGTATGTGTATTTTGGCGTATTCCTCTCATCCATTTTTTTTGCATGCGTCCTGTGCCTGATAAATTTGCTTTCAGTTGCTTTTTTGAAGGCCCTTTTGTATCCTCACACATGCTTGTTTGGAGCGTCATGTAGATTCCTGCTCTCCCAGCTCCCCCTCAAAACATATTTGGATTCTTTTCCATAAAAGGAAACATTCAGCTGAAACACAAAGTTTCAGTCAAGAGTCTCTCTTGAAATTAAAAACACCCAAGTATGCCTCAACTTCCACAGAAACTATAATGCATTTTCTGTTCATGACGCCCAACTCACTAGTGTCAACATAATGCTTTTTTTTTGGTCATTTCGTCATATGACTCAGATCTGACAACGTCAGTTTAAGTCAGGAGAATTTACAGCCCCGCTATGTGATAACATCTTAAAGCTATTTGAAGAGCTAACAGTTATTCCAAGTACGCATATTTATCAGATACATCAGAAGTTCAGTTTCATGGAGAATATTGTATTAGTTCAAGATAATGGGCAACTGAGGTAAAAAAAAGCTAATCTTAATAGATGTATTTAGCGGTGAGATAATTTATGGTGATTTATGCCTTTTCAGTAAATCATGATAATACCATTGACTTAATTTAGATTTTGTATTCTCAGTGCGCCGAGCTCTAACATTTTGGTCACCTTGTTACCGTCTGGGGCTTATTAACACTCATGCAGCTCAGCTTGTTCTCTGTATAACCTGTGACCTGTCCGATGTTGCAGGTGTACTCACATTTAATTTTTTAATATAATGAAGTATTCTGTATTTTAAATCATTGCATACAAGGCCATTGCGGTTGTCTTTTAGAATTTCACACATGGAATTTAATTTCCATCTTGTAATGACACACGGTCACGTATATACTGCTTAGACTTTCCCTGTAGTTCTGTAGCTCGTATAGTAGGCGGGCAAGTTGCTCCATTGACATGCAAAGTGAGCTCTCACTCTTCTTATTTATTTTTTTCCGCTGCACACTTCTCAAATTATAACTCCGTTTCTTGGCTGTGATAAGCTGACTGAATCAATACAATCAGCCCGGAGGAAACTGGTGGACCAGAACCTCATTAGTGCAAAGCACCGTACCATGACTTTGGCGAATCATTTCAAATGGAAGGTCAGTCATGCGGTGTCTTCTTCAGATGTACCGTTTTAATGATCACGAGTCAGTAATGAAAATTAGCAGTTAATCAGCTCCACATTTCATGCACTTTGTTTATTTTGTATTTTCAGTTTTAAACCCGTACAATAAATACAACTGCTTCCACTATTGTTGGAGGTAGAGTTAAAAATGGGAAGAGAAGGTTCAGTATGTGTTTACAAGAGTTCGGTTTTTCATAAACAGGTGTTTAACAACATTAGATGACTAAATCAGCCTTTTACAGTGACCGAAAACTGCATATGTTAACATGATTGTTGCACTCCTTGGGCTGTTATTGACTATATTTACATTCACGGTAAAGTTCCACTATTATTCTGAATTTCATTTTCATGTAAAGAGCACATTTCATTTGCATATTCTGAATTAGACCTTATTAGTATTATTGTGTTCAGAGTATTCATCTCACCTGCAACACACAGCCTGTTGCCTTTTTCCTGTCAGCTCTGTGGGTCGTCACAGATGGGGTAGAGATGCAAAAGAAAAGGCCACATTTCTCCTCGGAAGGAGAAACACACCTACTTTAAAACATAACGAAAGACTGGATATCAACAGGTTTTTTTTGAGTATTCACAAATATCAGAAGAAGGTGGTTGAAGGAATGAAAGAGGAAGGCTGCGTTTGCAGTTGAACAAGATCGCTACCGGTGAAGGACTTTGAAAAAAATCCTATTTTTACATAAAGAAACAAAATGGCACAAGCGGCTCCAGCTGTTCCACTTTTCTATATTTTGATGTGACAAACATCAAAATATGTATAAATAATGGATGTAGTAACTGTTACATCACCCATTTGTTTGTGGACTCCTGTTTTGAAGCCCCAAGTTTGGCAATTTGTCCGTCGCCATCTTGGTTTTTTGGAGCCAGAAGTGACCTTATTTGGACGATAAGGTGTGGAGGAGTAAGGGGTGGATCTGACTCCCAGACAGCCTGTCACTCAAGCAGCCCTGCCCTTAAATATTCATTGATTTAAGCCTTAATAAAATGTAAATGGGTGAGTTGTATAAAAATTCACCCCTCATACAGTTGCCAGGAATGTTTAAGTTAGCTATAGAGACCAAAATTATTTTTTGTACCAGACTTTAAACATGTTTATTTCTGCTGTAAAGTTGGGTATTCTAACATGGGGGTCATGAGGAGTTTGCAGGCGGCCTCAAGTGGCCATTCAAGGAACTGCAGGTTTCAGCACTTATGCACTGGCTTCATTTCTCAGCTGTGGAGGTCGCCTCTAGATCCAAACCACCAGCTTTTCAAACTTTAAAAAGGAGTTGAGGCAAGTTGATCAAAAATGGTTTTGGCCATTCCTGTTGTTTCAAATACTTTAGTAGAGTAAGTAAAAACGCATCTTTAAATTCTGATGGCAAAAAATGGCAACTCTCTGGACATATTGATAATACCGCATCACAGCTCATCTTTTTACATTTCTCTGTCACTCACTGCTACGTCACATTTTGTTGTTTTATTTTGTTTTAAGTCTATCCAGTTGCGTCCAGAGGCATTTTTGTTTGCCCTTTGCTAATGCCCCTTGGAAATCGAAAAAGAACTGTGAGGTTCCAGCCCGTTGTCACTCCCATGTCGTCAAATTTGTCTGTCAAACACTGACGCAAAAAGGCACCTTTTACGGCAGGATTGACTCGCCTCTAGAGTCGGTCTCTAGTGGTCGTTCAAGGAACTGCAGTTTTTGGCAAGCTTCGCGTCGGCTTTATTTTCAGCCCCGAGGCTTGCCACTCGTGAACTACAGGTTAGGGCACGTTAATCGGAGTTCGTGCAGCTGCGTGTTAACAGGAATACTATTGGAATATTTACTTTCATTAGCCATGTAAACAGCTTTGTAGGAACCTTGTTTTTTTTTTCCAGAGTAAGGTCCAAAACAGGATTTTATTGTGCATGTAATGCAGTCAGTGAGTTTTGCCTCCAATTTTTCAACCTGGAAAATATGGCAGCTACATTGGGAACATTGTCAGGTTTGGGTTTAACGGTCTATTAAAGTAAGCTACTTCAATTCTCACCTCATCAGTTTGAGGAGAGACACAGGCCATGCATGACTTCACTTCATGTTCAATTTTTCATTTGTGAAGAAAAATTAATGTTCCATTTCCTCTCCTTAGAGGGTACATGGTGTTGCCTTAGAGCAGACGATCGTGCTAAAACTAAGATCTGCAACGCCCAGTCTGCACTGCCAAGCTGTTCCCAAGGATTGTGGTTGTCATAATGTAAACCATTCCTCATAGTCTGCTGATTGATTGGTCTGACTTCCAGCTTCTGGGCACCATCAATTCTTAGTGGATCTTTTCCAGGCTCCCGAGATAACTTGTAGTCTTCACTTAGCTCATGAGATTAATGCTAGCTTGACAACAGAAGTCCTGATTGAAAAAACAGCTTCGCTCATTAATCAACAAAGAAGAGACAGAAGATTCATAGTCAACCACTAAACCGACGGCCATATGTTAAACATGATCAGTTTGGTTTTAACTTGAAGGTTCTTGATGCTGTGACTGACTCCAGTGTTTTGTGTATGAATGAGCGACACGGTGAAAACATCAGATGCTGCTACATTTCTCATACCTTTGATTTGTTCCTTTCTACTCCTGCATATCTCCACTTGCTCTCAACCCTCACCTGCCCCACTTCTGCCCCGCCCCATCCCGCCTCAACCCAACCCCACCCTACCCCCCTGCTCCAGGCATGGCCTCCATTTTGATGTCAGCAGTGGGACTCGGCGTGCACTTCACCACTGCCCCCCTCCCTCAGCAGCAGCAGCAGCTACAACAGCAGCAGCAGCAGCAGCAGCAGCAGCAACCTGCTCCTTTCTCTCTTCCTCCTCCTCTCCTCCCCCCTGCCAGCAGGCCCAGCAAGCCCCACAGCAGCAGCAGCAGCAGCAGCACCACCACCAGTACAGTTAGGAGAGCAAAGAGGCAGCACAGGAGAGGTAGCTACCACGCCACCAGCCCTTCCTCCACCTATTTTTCTCCATTGTTCTCTTTTGCTCCAGTTATCACCACCACAGGCTTGAGGAACATTTCATCCAGCATCCACTCACTCTCACTTGTCTTCATGTGTTCATAGGGTGTGTTAACACTACTCAGCTTATGTGTTAGTCGGAAATAAAAGTGCTGCTTCTTGTGCAACTGTGAAATAAGAAGATAAGTGTGACCAATGTGCTCTAAAACCAGACCTTTGACTCGTCTGATTCAGCCTCTCTGTTCTCAATATCAGCTTGCCTACCTGCCATAAAATCCTGCTTCTCTTAAATATTTATCAGCTCTCAAAGATGAAACATGCAGCACTTTTTTTCAATACAGTCTTCTAGTTTCTCCAAGACTACCTTAATTGAAAAACGGGAGTCTGGGAAATGTGGAACAGTCCAAACTCTGCTGTGTAAGCACAATGATAGTGAAGAAAACTTCCACTATATGCTGTGGCCTTCACAGCCACCAGATCTCAAAGAAATGTCCCAGGAGCCACTGCTGCACTAAAGAGTGCAACGATTAGTCCATTATTAGTCAGTCAACAGCAAATTAATTGGCAGATATTTAGATAACTAGTCCTTTGGGTCTTTTTTTTTAACCAAGCAAAAATGCCAAAACAAATGGGCAGATAATGAAAATGATTGCAGCAGTTGCAGCACACGAAGCATCTGGCCTGCTTGAATCAAACAAAAGACGTCTTAATGCATTATATTTACTGACAAAGTTGGTGTTTGTTAAAGGGGGTTTGCTTATAGATAAGTTGGACATAAAAAACCCAAACAAAACAAGCACTTGGATTTGAATTATGAAGCTGCACTTCATCACTGCCTCTTTATTTCTGCCTGACTTTCTTTTTTCATCTCTGCATTGTCATGACCATAAATTACACCTCCTCCACACTCATTGTCTGCCACTTCTTACTTGAAATTCCTGCTCTTGAAATCAACAGGGGACAGACACACAAAAACGCAGAAAAAGTGTTGATGCCTGGAAACTTAGCAGCGAATATATTTTTTTCTTATTTCTCAGCCGGGAGAAAACCTTTCAAAATCTGGAATTAAATGGAGCTGTCTTGTGCGATAAACTCCGAAAAGACATTTGAACATTTAATAAGCTTTCAGAAATTTGCTTCCTAAACAGACTTGACACTCACACGTGTGCGTATGTGGGAGAATATGGTCCATACATGCACTAAGTGTCTGTATCCATCGCTCACGCTGCCCATCACGGTTGCACATGAACATTGAATGTTCATTCTGTCATCATGCATTCAAGTTGTCTCTGTGGCTTGTGTGTTTGCATGTTTTGCATACTGTCTGTGCACATTTATTTGTATGTAGCAGACACAGAAAGAGGAGAAATCCTTAGCTTATGTGGCCAATGTTCGCTGGAAATTCTAAAAAATTATTTGATGTTGTAAAGAAAATCATTTCCTTTCATCTCAGCACAGTCTCATCTTTTTGTTCGGCAGGTTGTTGGAGTCACAGTTTTAGTGTCTGGGCCTGTTGCAGCTCATTCATCTCTTTGTGCTTTGTCTTTTATCCCTCTTTTAGCCTCAGCTCAGAGACCCGAGGAGGTGATTCAGCGCTACATGGAGGTAGTTGGAGGAGTACCAGATGAGGTAAATGTTTCATGGTTAGGTTTTTTTTTTTCCCTCCTAGATGTCACAGAACTAAAAGAAGGTTTCGGTTCTTAAAATAGAGAAATTTCAATATAGCATTTTGATGGACCGTTCATATGGCTGTTTGCTGTTTCTGGCCTCAAACTGTAATTGTGACACTAAACACTCTGTCCCTGGGTTTCCTTCAGGACTGCATTATCTGCATGGATCAACTGTCCAATCCGTCCGGCTACGAGACACCGTCCGCAGAGGAGGGAGGCCAGAGCATCCTGCCAGACACTGTGGGGAAATTCATCAGATGTGGACACACCCTGCATATGCTCTGCATGCTGGCCATGTACAACAATGGCACAAAGGTACACGCCTGTTAAATGACTGCATGGAAACTGCTGTTTTTATGCCTCTGTGCCAGCGATGGCCGTGACCGCAGGCATTATGTTCATGGGTTGTCCATACGTCCTTCTGTCCCATTCTCATGAACAAGAAATCTCAAGAACACCGAATGGGAATTTCTTCAAATATGGCACCAGGACGAGATGAACGGATTTGACTTGGGTGGTCAAAGGTTTTTGACATGGATCTGCACTGTCAGAGACACTTGTCTGGTTCGTGGAGGCATACAAACGCAAAATGTGTGTACATATTGATCTGAGAAGTCTGCCTTGAAGTACCACATTGATGGACTGCACTTGTACAGCGCTTTTCTATTCTTCTGACTGCTCAAAATGCTTTTACGCTACGAGACACATTCCCCCATTCACACACTGGTGGCCTGAGGCTACTGTACATGGTGCCACCTGCTACTTAGTAACCATTCACACACACTCACTGATGGACAGCCACCAGGAGCAAATTTGGGGTCAGTATTTTGCCCAAGGATACTTCGACATGCAGACTGGAGGAGCTGGGGATCAAACCTCCAATCTTCTACCTCTGAGACAGCCACCTGTGTGTCCGTAACATTAGCTTTACAAAAGTTAAAGATACAAAACACTTTCACAGTGTGATGGAGTCATTGTCGTAAAGGAAAAGTTGGGCATTTGGGCAAAATATATTTAGTGGTATTTGCTCTTTTTCTTGAGTTAGATAAAAAGACTGATATCACTCTGTGCATTATGTACAGAGCTACAGTGAGGAGGCGATTCACTTAGCTTAGCGTTACGACCAGAAGCCACTGGTTGCCTGGCAACCTCAGGATGACGACAAGACTCCTAGAAGTCACTGCGCCTGGCTGCTGGTCGCCAATAAATATAATATTTCCAGCACATAACCCTCTGGGAATTGTTGTCAAGTTGTTCGCACACTTCTGTATTTCCCTGATTAAAAAGAAGGAGACACAACGGGCCTTATCTTCACCCTGGATGGAGAAAAGTGTTGCACAGCACAACTGTTACTGCTAGTTCAGACTATCGCAGTTGTCACTTTCATAGCCAGTGTTACGTTGTGTATGTGGCAAATATACTGAGGTCAGGTGCATTGTTGGCACATTGCTATTTTTAGGTAGCGAAAAGCAATTGGGTCATTCACCAACAAAAACCTGGTCTAAAGTCAGAGTGATGCAGTTTTTTCCCGTAGTTTGAATAACATATTATTCGGGTAGTAAGATGCACGCACGTACACTATGCTTGTTATATACACAGGGACACATGGATGGATTGCAAGTGGGTGAAGTGAGAGAGAAAAACGGCCCTGTAAACAGCCTGCACCTGGCTTTTAAAGGGAATGGGGGGTGACTCTGGTTGAATCCACATTAGGCCCTGAACAAAATCTTGTAACTACAGTACACAATCCATTGACTACATAACCATAGATACTCCATATATACACACTTAACAAGGCAGAACTACTTTCAGGTACAGAGCATCTTGTGTATTCCTAACTGAATTCACAGTCAGGCATCTAAAATATATTGGTGTGCTTTAAAAAATGGTTGATGATAGTGTTATGTATGTTTTAATGTGTGGAATGGTCCTTTAAAATGTGTGGCAATAGACCATTTTCCTGCTCACAGTATGTTCTAGTGTTTCATTGCTTTTTATTTGAGGTGTAGTGTATAAACTGAATACCAAATAACTCAATCATACATACAAGTGACGATGAAGCACTGGTTGATGAGACCAGAGGCGTCAAGACTTGTTGAGGGAAGGGAACACAAAACAAAAGTCTCATCAGTGGATCGATGAGTATTTGATCAGCGCCTAACCTGGTTTATATCGATCGTTTAAAAGGCTCTCTGGTCATGTTTTCCCCTCAGGACGGCAGTCTGCAGTGCCCCTCGTGTAAGACAATCTACGGAGAGAAGACCGGCACACAGCCCAAAGGCAAAATGGAAATTTACAGCATCGCCCAGTCGCTGCCAGGCCACCCAGACTGTGGCACCATCCAGATCATCTACAGCATACCACCTGGCATACAGGTACGTCTGCACACTGAGCTACCACTCTGCCAAGAATGCAAAGTAAATCCAGCCATGTATTTTGATTTTTCCTTCCAGTCTTTTATTTTCTACCAGAGCTGCAAAATCAGAGCATAAAAATTGGGTTTTTAGCACGAAAGACACCATAATTTCTCCTCCTGAACCAAAGTTAGGATTTGAAAAATTAGGGAGTTATAGTATAGTCAAGGGCTTGACAAATATGTATCAACATTATCAGATATTTTATTTGAATGGAGAGAGTACTGGCTGCTACAGAGTGAGTTGCAGTATGGCTTGTTTGGAGCCTTTAACAGTAACTTCAGCATTTTTCTCTGCAACGTTCTAAAATGGTTTTGCCTAGTCGTGACTCTTTGGTCTGAACTGAGCCTCAAGCCGCCCACACATGATCAGTGGCTAAACTGTGCCACAGTTTTCCTGTGAGGACAGCAGTGGCCCCAGGTGTACTGCTGTGTACTGCTTGAAATTGCCACGGAGCACTGCTGTCAGAGTTCAGATTATTGAAACTTTGACCCAGGTTGCCGTTGACCTTTCAAAGCGCATGGCAGCGAGGTAACAGCTGTGTGTGACATCAACAGAAGCAACAAGCAGGGGAGGTGGAGAGTAATGGAAGAAAAACTCATCCAGAGTTCTGTATAAAATCATATCACGATCTCGCAAGGTAAAGTAATACATGGTGAAATGTCAGCAGTCAGACGGGACGACCAGGTTTGTGAATAGCTTATAGTTTATGAACTGAGCTAAATCCAAAGCTGAGGTTAGCTTGTGCACTTTTTGATGAAGTGTATCTGCTCCATGCTCTGCGCCCTCCCTCACGGAGAGTGAAGAGCACATTTCTTATCACCTGAAGGCAGCTTAAATGTGCGATTTACATTATGGAAGTATTTCATGTATCACTTTTATCAGAGAAAAGACTTTGAGGACGATGACTCTACTCTTTGGACTGATCTCAGGGAAACTTATGAAATGACTGCAGGGGAAAGTACAGTCTGGACCGAAGCTCGTTCAGTGATGTTTCCAAATAAGTATTTTAACAGATTGATGTTCAGGCTCGACTGTGGGAGAGCACTCTCCTCTGTCCTATTGCGTGTGGCTCACAGTGACACCCTCCTTTGTTACAAGACTTTGTTTGTCTTGTGGGAAAACCTTAATTTCTTTCCGTGTCCTGCTGTAACCATGCGTGCGGATAAATTGCAGCGCATGTATCAGCGATCTAAAGTTACAAGAACGTGAATTAGATTTGTATTGAGCTGTTTGTCTACAGTTATCTCCAAAACACAGTTATTAGATTATTGTATTGTTCCAACTGATCTCTGCTATTAAATGTAATGTCTCTCCATTCATCAATTGGTTCTTGTCCTCCTCCTCCACCACCACCAGGGCCCGGAGCATCCCAACCCAGGACAGCCGTACACATGTAGAGGCTTCCCTCGCTTCTGTTTTCTACCAGACAACGACAAGGGCAGGAAGGTAAAAAGCAACACATCCCACAGCTGGGACCAACTCCACACCACAGACGCCTGTATACAGTGTAAACACGTATCCATACCCTACCACACGTACAAACAAACAATCAATATCTTCAGTTACATCATCACTGGAGAACCAGAGTGGAGCCAACATGACACACGAGGTGCACACAGTTCGATACCACAAACACAGGTCTCCATCAGGACTGGAGTGTTTCACTGTGATTAAATTAGGAACATTTTGTGCGCATTATAAAGTTGTGTTGTTTCCATGGTGAATTAGTAGCTCATTTCCTGCTCACTGGCAACTGCGGCCGAACACTTTAGCTTCTATAAATAATCTCCGATGTAATTCAGTAATGGAAAATTGGATTAAATTATTCCAGTTGTAGTTTATCTGCGCCTGTGCCTCAGACTCACTTCCTTCATCAGAGTCCCTGGTGTGAGGATGTTCCGCGGAGAACACGGATTTGAGAACGGACACGCAGCTCGTCCCGCAGTGTGGTAAACAGTTTAGAAAACACCCTTCACTTCCATCAATTAGGGAGCCTAACTGTCATGAATACCTGAAGTCACATAAAGCCATAGAAATAGAATGAGAGTAGAATGGACTTTCCCATTCAAAGGATGGTCAGAGCAGCGGCCATTTTTATAGCAATCATTGTAGGCAGCTAACTGCTATATAAATTTATATTTATACAAACCGACTTGTGGCCACAAACTCACTGTAGCGAGCAGTACCAACTAAACATGCAGTGGAGTAGTAATGCTGGGTTCACACTACATGATATCAGCCCGATTATGGCCCGACACAGCGACGTATGGTGTCGGCTCGGATCGTGAACAACAGTGAGTGTCGTACGCGATAATCCTTTGTTTCATCTCGTGTAGTGTGTCATAGTAGACGACAACCGATGCCATGTCTGGGACGCCTCACGACAGCTGTCACTGTGCTCTTCATGCACAGCGACGCAACAAGTGCAACTGTCGTCAACTCCAACTCTCTGCCGTCTGCCTGTCTCTCCACTCCATGTGTGTGCGCAGCTAAACACCACACACCATAAACAACAGCAAAATGCAGTAAAAGACTGTTTTGTTATTTACCTAAATTTTGTGCACTTCTTTATATTGCTTAGCTTGTCTGTCATCTATGGTCCATGGTGTTTTTAGGGCGGACACTCAGAAAGCCACCTCAAGTGCAAGAAAAGCCAAATGGGCAATAAGTAATTTATTATTGCAATCTGGGCAAAACATGTACAGACGATGGAAATAAACACTCCCCGGAATACAGTTCATTCAGGTAACTCAGGCAGGGGCTACATGGAAGGAACAAACACCAGAGAATACTCTCGTACAGGAAAAGAGAAATTCTCTTGAGACAGCGATAAGGCCAAAATATCAAAGAGAGGGTTTGTTATTTTATACTTTATTTTGTAAAACCATTAAGAAACAGCTTGGATGCAGGGAATTTTTCTTGGCACATCACAGAGCTGTTCATTTGATTGAGTTTAACAGCTTTAATGTACTTTAAGTGTGCACTGAGCAGAATAGACGTATCAGATCGAGACTCGGTATCGACAGACACTCAATATGGACTCAGGCAAAAAAACATGATTGGGACATTCTTAATTAGGGCTGCAGCTAACAATTATTTTCTTGACAAGCTCTTGACAGTTTCCTGACAGTGTCCAGTAGCATTCAGTCCGCACAGTAAGTCACAGAAACACTCTCATCCTGTAAGATCTGATGTCGATTTATTAAAATATTATCAGACTCATATACCGCCTCGCTTTGATGATATTATCGTTGCCCACTTTTGTACGATGTCATAGAGAGTCAGGGTGAAGTCGGACACAAATCCAACCTGTATGAATTATGCGGCGATCGCCAGTGATCGAATCTGCACAGGCCTGGCTCATCTTTGAACGAGCCTGTTGTCTTCAGATTGCTTGTTTTGTCTAGACTATACTGTCATATAGGCAAAGAGAACCAGTGAATGGTCACGTGTGAGAGGCTGGAACCAGACAATGATTTTGCTTTGTGTTGATTTACAGACTGATTTATTGTTTCCACGCATTAGTGCTTTGTGGGTTTTGAATTCGAGCTCTCTAATGTTCGCCCCATGTCTCTCGTTAAAAAAAAGGTGCTGGAGTTGCTGAAGGTGGCGTGGATGCGACGCCTCATCTTCACCGTGGGAACGTCCAGCACCACAGGAGAGCCCGACACAGTGGTGTGGAACGGCATCCACCACAAAACCGAGATGATGTCCAACCTGTCGGGCCACGGCTACCCCGACCCAAACTATCTGGACAATGTTCTGTCTGAGCTGGCCTCTCAGGGCGTGACAGAGGACTGCTTCAAACCTCTGGGCGGCTGCAGCGGCGGCAGCAGCTAGGTCACAGCTCCGAGCTTCACACACACTTCCACTCACTGCTGAGTTAAAACCCACCTCTGCGGCCAGGTGGACCTCCTGCAACCTCCTGTCTGTTCTTAAGTTCGTTCAAACCTCATGGAGTGAGCAGAAGGGGGAGAAGTTAGCTGAGAAAAGGTCTCGAAGCGTCTCTGGAAGAATGCAGAGTGGAGGGCTTGCTGATAACGGTTTACGCTCCACTACATTCCTGCTCATCACAAATTCCCAGAGTCTGAACTCAGAGAAAACTGGAGCCACTTTTTTTCAAACCTCCATAAACTGGAAATTGTGTTTTTACTTTGTTTTGTTTTCCTCCATCATGAGCCTCATCTGTATCCCCTTGTCCAGTTACCATAAGACTGGCAGCTCACACTGGGGATAAAAATCTCTCTCATTAAGCACTTTAGTTCTGACAGTGCGTTTAGCTGACAGCGTGTGATTTCCCGGTAAAGGGCGGCGAACTTGTTTTCAAATTGGGAAGTTATGCAATTAAGGTGTTTCTGCTGAAAACCTTTGTGTTTGACACAAAGTCACACTGAACCTTCTCGTAGCAAAGTGAGTATATATTAGCCTATTGGATGAGAAGAGGCAATACTTAACTGATGTAAATAAAACAGACAAAAAAAATAATGAAAAAAATAATGTAAAAACAAACAGGTTGTGTCCACAGACGCCAGTCGAGGAGATAAAGTTGTTTTAACATTTAACACTACTTCTGATTTGACCATCCGTTGTTATATTTTAATCTAATTTTATAAGCAGATGTCTGACGCACTCACATGGTGATTTGTCATGTTAGAACTTTGCAGTAACTGTGCCCCCAGGCGCTCTGCAGCCATTGTTTTTGTCACTTAGTATGTTAAAGTTTGTGTGAAGGGACAAGGTTACCATCGCATATAGCTCGACGACCTCAATCCTTTTGTCCAGACAGATGGGACGGACGGAAGAGATATTAAAGAAGAAGAAGAAAAAAAAGAAAAAGCTCCGGTTAAGAACATTTTACAGTGTGACAATCAAGGTCATCGAACTCGTCTTGATTAAACAAGACACGTGAAGCCGCGGCGAGCATGTTAATGTTCCCGCTGGCTGCAAACTCACCTCCTGTATCCACATGCATTATTCTGCTCACAGTACTGCAGTACAGATGCTGAACTGAGTCTTGACATGTATACAAGCAAAACTGAAAAAAAGTCTCTGCAATAAAGAAATAAGGCAAAATGAATCCCGTGTCTGACCTGAGTTCTGTACGAGTAATGCAGCAAGTCTTCTTTATTTTAGAGTTTTTATTTTTCTAAAGAAAGTCCTTGAGTTAGTAAGGTGCTGATCTACTTCCAACAATGCTGAAATTTATTTATTTAACCAGGAAGTCCCAATGAGATTGAAAGTCTATTTTGCAAGAGAGACCAGAGTAAAAAACTAAAATGTCAATGGACAAACTGTTTGAGTCACCAGTAAGCTCAGAGCATGTATGTACTGTATGATCTGAGGTGTACAGCATTTGCATACATACAGTATCTCACATAAGTGAGTACACCCCTCCCATTTTTGGAAATATTTTATTATATCTTGTCATGGGACAACACTATAGAAATGACACTTTGATATACCTAAAGTAGTCAGTGTACAGCTTGTATAGTAGTATAGATTTACCTTCCTCTGAAAATTACTCAAAACACAGCCATCAACATCTAAACAGCTGGCAACATAAGTGAGTACACCCCACAGTGAACATGTCCAAATTGTGCCTAAAGTGTCAATATTTTATGTGCCAACCATTATTATCTAGCACTGCCTTAACCCTTTTGGGCATGGAATTCACCAGAGCTCACAGGTTGCTTCAGGAATCCTCTCCCACTCCTCCATGATGACATCATGGAGCAGATGGATGTGAAGACACCTTGCGCTACCCCACCTTCAGCCTGAGGATGCCCCACAGGTGCACAGCTGAGTTTAGGGCTGGATACATACTTGGCAAGTCCATCACCTTCACCTTCAGCTTCCTCAGCAAGGCAGTTGTCATCTACTATGTGTGTTTTGGGTCATTATCATGTTGGAAAACTGCATTGCAGCTCAGTTTCTGAAGAGGGGCGATCATGCTCTGCTTGGAATTCATGTTTCCCTAAATGAACCGAGCTCCCCAGAGCTGGCAGCACTCATGCAGCCCCAAACCATGATGCTGCCACCACTATACTTGACTGTAGGCAAGGGACAGTTGTCTTGGTGCTCTTTCAGCATGTGTGGCACCTTGGTGAAGAGCACAAAGTCAACTGTCCCTTGCCTACCAAACGATGCTGCAGCCATAAACTCCATCACTACCTGTCTTTTGGCAATAAGTAAATGGATGAGCAATAATTTCTTAAAGTCAAATGAAGACAAAACTGAAATCCTGCTTGTCGGGCCTTAAACAAAAAGAGAAATGCTGCTTAATAATCTGGGAATTTTAAACCTCCGAGGTGACATGTCTTGGTGCGATCCTAGATTCAGATCTAAGCGTCAAGTCCCAAATTAACAAGATAATGAAAACATAATTTTCCCGCCTCAGAAACATAGCTAAGGTACGACCATTTCATCACAGAGAGACTTCAGCTGATTGAAAACTCTGCAGCTCGGCTATGAACCAGAACCAAGAGGAGAGAGAGCACATCAGGCCCGTCTGAGCTGCTCTGCACTGACTTCCTGTTACATTTAGAATTGATTTTAAGCTCCTCCTCCTTGTACACAAAGCCCTACATGGGCTGGGACCAAGCTACATTGCTAACTCCCTTGTTAACTGTTTGCCTCCAAGAACACTGCGATCATCTGCTGCTGGTTTATTGGAGGTTCCCAGAAACAGGCGGAAGAAGATCAGGGATGCAGCCTTTGTCAGTTACACAAAGCTATGGAACACACTACCTATAGATATCAGAGAAGCTAGCTCGCTAAATGTTTTTAAAAGAGAGCTAAAAACGTATCTGTTCACTTTAGACTTTAACTAGCTCTGACTTCCTGATACAGGTATGAAACTTTCCATTTAAGCTTCACACTGCTGCAACTCTTAAAATCTTACCTGAGTTTATGATTTATAGTTTTACAACTCAATAATCTGCTCAGGAATGACCCAAGGAACTTTACAAAACTCTAAAATCCAGACCCCATCCAATTGAGCATCTGTGGGACTTGCTGGTACCTCACCTTGCACCCTACAGGACTCAAAGGATCCGCCGCCAACGCCTCTGGTGCCAGACACCACAGGACACCACCAGAGGTCCAGTGTCCATGCCTGAAGCCAAGTCTGATCCACGAGGCATGGACACAGGGTCTCTGGGGTACCAGCATGTTCCACAGACGTTCAACTGGATTGAGATTTGAGTTATTTGGAGGCCAGGTCGATGTCTTGAGCTCTTTGTCACAGTCCTCGGATCATTCCTGAACAGTCTTTGCAGTGTGGCATGGTGAACTGTCCTCCTTAGTCATGAGTTCGAGGTCCCACAGTTTAATACTTTCAGCGTCATACTTGTGTTTGGCCGTGTCGTCGAGTTAGTTTGCCGTCTCTGTCAAGTAGCCGTCCCTCAGTCAGTAACTCTACAACAGGAAATGTCACTTAAAATGGAAGCTCTGTGCCGCAAATACACTGTATTTCAAGACAAAGTGTGTGATTATCTGTGATTATCTTCGGCACTCGGCCTGCAAAATAAAGTGAATCAACATGTCAACTCACACCGTACCACAGAGCCTTGAAGTCCAAACCAAAGACATACTTTCTAGTACAAGAGCGCATGAAGCACCTTTAAAAACAGAGTTCACAAAGTGCTTTGACAGACAAAGCAAAGCAGTAGCAAAAAACCCCAAAGGAAATATAACAGTAGAAAGCCAAACAGTGATGTCGAAACCAAAGCAGGACACAATGAAGGTACAATGTAGACAAAACTGAGTGTTGTTTTACTCACCTGTCTGTGGAGGACTTAAAAACTCACAAAATATCTCTAGTCCACAATCTGCTCCAGATTCAGCTTCTCTGCTTATTCATCCCCAGTGTAACCAGTCCACTCAGCCTCTCTGTCCCACTGTGGTCGTCAAATTAACAGTCTCAAACAGCAGGAAGTCCTCACACACCAGGGCAGTGCATGGCGCTGCTGTTATGAGTTTAATTTGGGTCAAGTCATTGCATTAAATCAGTGATTCGTAGACCTTCTTCATGGCAGCCATTTTGACACGACAGCAGGACAAACACAGGTGAAACTAATGACACTAATGGACGTTGACTCTTCTAGCTATCCAATCAAACTTCACCACCATCTCTATCAGCCAATCAGGATGCTACTCTCCACACCCTCCTCCACCCTGCTCACCTGCAGCCATTGTATCCAGAGTCCAGACCCCTTCCCCTACCCAGCCACATTGTCAGCACTTCTACATCTTCACCAGCGTCTAAGGGTTCTCTATTCGACTATGGATTCATCACAGCACCTTAGATATTTACCATCTTGATGGGGTCTAATCTCCAAAGACTTTTCATATTTTTCATACTTATGTGCACGAGTTCAGTTTCAGCATTCAAAAAGCCAGCAGCACCCTGAAACGAGCTCACTTCAATGGAATACAGTCACATATAATGTCCTCAGTTATACCTGTGCTTTTCCTACTGCAGGGTTCCTACAGCTAAAGGTAAGTTTTAATACTTTAGACCCCCTTTGCCTTCAGAACTGCCTTAATTCTTGGTGTCATAGATTCAACAAGGTGCTGGAAACATTCCTCAGAGATTTTGGTCCATATTGACATGATGACATCACACAGTTGCTGCAGATTTGTCAGCTGCACATCCACGATGAGAATCTCCCGTTCCACCACATCCCAAAGGTGCTCTATTGGACTGAGATGTGGTGACTGTGGAGGCCATTGGAGTACAGTGAACTCATTGTCATGTTCGAGAAACCAGTTTGAGATGATCTGAGCTTTGTGACATGGTGCGTTATCCTGCTGGAAGTAGCCATCAGAAGATGGGTACACTGTGGTCATAAAGGGATGGACACGGTCAGCAACAATACTCAGGTAGGCTGTGGTGTTTAAACCATGCTCAGTTGGTACTAAGAAAATCTCCCCCACACCATTACACCACCAGCAGCAGCCTGAACCGTTGATACAAGGCAGGATGGATCCATGCTTTCATGTTGTTTACACCAAATTCTGACCCTACCATCTGAATGTGGCAGCAGAAATCCAGACTCATCAGACCAGGCAACGTTTTTCCAATCTTCTATTGTCCAGTTTTGGTGAGCCTGTGTGAACTGTAGCCTCAGTTTCCTGTTGTTAGCTGACAGGAGTGGCACCTGGTGTGGTCTTCTGCTGCTGTAGCCCATCTGCTTCAAGGTTGGACGTGTTGTTGGTTCAGAGATGGTCTTCTGCAGACCTTGGTTGTAACCAGTGGTTATTTGAGTTACTGTTGCCTTTCTATCATCTTGAACCAGTCTGGCCATTCTCCTCTGACCTCTGGCATCAACAAGGCATTTTGGCTCACTGGATATTTTCTCTTTTTGGGACCATCCTCTGTAAACCCTAGAGATGGTTGTGTGTGAAAATCCCAGTAAATACTCAGACCAGCCCGTCTGGCACCAACAACCATGCCACGTTCAAAGTCACTTAAATCACCTTTCTTCTCCATTCTCATGCTCGGTTTGAACTTCAGCAGGCCAACTTCATGTCCTAAAGTCTAAATGCATTGAGTTGCTATACAATAAACACAAACAACAAAATGAAAGTGCAAGGCAACACATTTTATTTCAAAGGCCTAATTGGCGTTAAGGTACAGCATATTAAATATCGTTAGTCCAGAGACAGTCATTGCAGAATAACATACCATTCTTTCCTTTACATGATACATTCAGGCTGACTTTAAATGAGATATTTTACATGTTGTTAATGTGGTGCTAACAAAGAAAGGCTGTTTACTGAAGGTCTTGTGTTTACCGCAGGTACTTCCTGCCGCCCGCGCGAGCAGAGGTTCTACCTGTCAGGCAAACATCGAGTCCGTTTCGTCTCCTTTAATTTCTGATGGCTTGCGGTCGCCACAGCGCCCAATTAAGACACTTCACTGCTGCTGTTTAATTTGATTTCAGCGGTTACCTGTGGTTACTGAGTGACTAGTAGCATCTGCGTTAGCGTTGTGGTAGTTCCTCGAGGAGCTGTATAACAGAATAATGTATTTTACATCCCTGCACATAATGTTATATTTCAATAAATATAATAAATAAAAGTACAAATATCTGAATATTATGGAACCAGATCGTTATCAAAGACATTTTTTTGTCAGTAATACATTGCAACCAAATGCTGGATACAACAACATGACTCAGTGGATGGACACATCAGAAATGCAAGGGCAAATAACATGACTTCAGTAATGTTTTCAGAAACAATATTACCGTCATGATCAGCTTCAGAAGGAAAATAAAAAGTGACGTCTGTCCTGCCGGCGCTGTGAGGAGGCGGGAGACAGAGAACAAGCTTTTTGCCCTGCGACATTTTTGATCCACATACATTCTGTTGTTCCTCAACACTCAGGACGTCATTCACAGAGTCACACCTTCAGCTCTCTATACTCAGTCTGGAGAGATCGTTTAGTCGTAGCACTCTGACAAAGTGTTAGTGTCGCATGTGGAGTCAAGAGTCATGAATATCACTTTGACACACTCCGCCTTTTATCCCTTTGCTGCAGTCCAGGTTCGTCCTTCAGTAATTGACTTTCCCGGGAACCTGCACATTCACTCCGCTGTAGTCCACCATGTACATGGGCCACTGCTGCAGGCACACACACACACAGACACACACACACACACAGACACAATGATAGAGGAAAGTCAGTCGTAACAGTGGAGAAAATGCTTTCATTCGCACAAAGAGGTTGTTGACCTTGCCTCAAAACTTAATATTCGGCTTCAGTAGTTACAGTTAAACACACGATCGTATCGACCTGGAGATTCTCACTCAGAAGTGAAATGAGATAACAGCTTCAAGCAACACTGGACTGCACATTTTGAGGGAAGCATCAGTGAAGCGTTTAAAGAGATGTCTGGAGTTATCCTGTAGTTTTTTCTTCAGGGGGTCTACAGGTAACAGACACTTAAATGTGATGCTTTTTAAGACCTTTTGAAGGATAACTTTTGCCAACAGACAAGTGCAAGTTTAAAGTAAAAAGACAATTTCTGAGGTTCAGTGGTTTAAAGATTTCAAACATCAGAATTAAAAGATGGTTAAATGAAATTAGATAAAATGTTTTTGGAAATGAGACCTCACAAATCCAAATTTAAGACTGTTTAATGACTTTTATTTATACAATTGATTTTCAGACTTTCCAAGGACCTGCAGACACCCTGTTCTTACTGTCAACAAATTCCCTGAAAGGCCAAAAATCCAATGCTGAGTTAATCTGTCTCTCGATACTGTTGGTTCCTATTGACTACACAAATCTTAAGGCCCTGACACACCAGACCACAGGTTGGCTGCTGGTCAATGTTGGGCCATCGGAGTGTCTGTTGCCCTTGTTGATGCAGTGTGTCCCCCACCGTTGCCTCTCATCAGCCCCTGTCTGTTTTTTTTTGGCTGATTCAGCATGTTGAATCAGCATCAGTGATGGTGGAGCCTGTTGGTGATTGATTGGCAGTTCAGCTCAGCGCAAGAGAAGAGAAACGCGAGTGAGGAATGTAAATGAATGAACGAGCTTAAGTCAAGAGGGAGTGAGACTAAAACAAACTTGTTACATGAGGAGAGATTATTTTTCCTTTGCCACTGAGCTCTTCAGCAGAAACGTTTCTTGGTGGTTTTTGTCATTGTTCACTGGCACACGGTAAATATGCTCTGTTCTTTGAACACTGGATTTTATTGTTATTGTGCTAACTGGCTAACTAGCGTCAAGACGGTCTTCTGGTTTCCCTTTCTGAATGATGAATACAGACTACCGCTAACACTCAGCAACTCACACCCAAACAACCTAGATTGAAAAACAGCACTACAGGTATGAGGGACACACATTATATAACATCAATCACTGGTCCATCATTTTCCAAACTCACCATGACTGGAATCTGATTGGTTGATATCCCCAGGTCAGAGGAGGCAGGGACTCGGTTGCTCTCCTGGACTCTCTTACGCTTTCGTCGATTGGTGGATGCGTCTGTTCCTACTGGAGACACATAACGGTTTTTGCTTCCATGTGGCTTCAAAGCACTGAGCTCTATTTCTACTAGCATGAGGAATTATACACCTACCTGTGTTACAAGCTTGGCTACAGATTTCTGCAAAAGGTCTGTGTGAGAGAGAAAAATCACGGCAAAAACAATTAGGTAATTCACATTCGAGCACTGTTCAGACTGAACTCATTTCATACCTAAAATTCTGCTTGAGGTAAGTCTTTGCCTCCATTCTTTCATCACAGCTTAACTGCTTCAATGTCAAAATATTGTTCACTATTTCATATTATTTACATTTGCTGCTGAGGGAGATTTATTCTCTGACATCTCAGAGGCTGAATTTAAATCCCAAGCATAAATAAACCATAATGAGCTTAACTACCAGGAGGCGAAACCCTAAATTTGCACTGGAATATACAACGTGGTGACAGCGCGCAGGCTGCTGAATATTCAGGTGTCTCAACACTCACTGTAGCTGGCTCTTGATGTTGAATGTTATTTTATCTGCGGCTTGAAGGATTTTCTCCAGGCACACGATGTCGTAGGTGTTGGGGTTTCGGAAGGGGATGTCATCTGGAAGGCCACTAACTTCTACAGACTCTGGACTGCCTCGGATTAGCTTGTATGGGACCACGACGGAACGGTCTAAGCCCAGAGCCTCACCTGAACACACAGCATGACAATGTGATCAAAAACACAAAGCAAGGCAGAAATTAAGCTTTCTGGTCAGCTGCAAAGAGCTGCTGACAGGAGGACAAAAAGGCTTCATGCTGCTTGTATTTACCAACAGTTCTACAACAAAAATACATGCAAATGTTCTTCTAAATAAAATGTAAACGCAGGTCTTCATCTGAAAAACTAGTTTATGAAATTGGTCCAGTACTGAGGAAGAGGGCTGCAATGTAACAACTCTGAACATGTTCACACTGTCAATTTATGTCCACTACAGGTGTTTGTTTTGCCACTTAAGTGTCAGACAACATTATGGAAATTTAACCGAAAACAGCCAATAATTTGCAACTGCCAAACACACCAGATTCCACTTTGGGTGCTTTCACACCTGCTCTGTTTGGTTCGGTTAAATCGAACTCAAGTTTGTTTGCCCCCTAAGTGCAGTGCCATTACAAATGAACTCTGGTGCGGTTCGTTTGTGGTGAGAACGTGCTCCGACTTCAATCTGAACCAACTGCAGTCACATGACACATAGTTTGGGTTAAACATGAGCATGTTACAGTCCTGGAGGATTATTAATGTGCACCTCCTCCTGTACTGCCTTAATATGCACATTCAGCACATCCAATGCATCAAAACATTGTTTTCTAGTTGGAGCCGCGCCTCGTTTTCAAACTGTATGGTTTGACTAAAATGA